TTCTGGCAGTCTACATCCCAGCGGTATTCTCTTGCTTCCTCTGTAAGTCGCGTTAATGGTTTAGCGATATCTGCAAACTTCTTAATAAACCTCCGGTAGTAAGTACATAGTCCCAGAAAACTTCTCACTTGATGTTTGTCAGTTGGTTTTGGCCATTCCTTAATGGAATCAATTTTTCCCTTATCCACAGCCACTCCTTCTTTACTGACTATATGACCCAGATAATTGACTTTACCTTGAAATAGCTGGCACTTCTTGGTGTTTAACATCAATTGGGCAGCTTTAAGTCGATTAAAAACGTTTTCTAAATTCTTCAGATGGTCTTCAAATGTCTCCCCAAGACGATTATGTCGTCTAGATAAACTAGGCATGTTTTCCAAGATAACCCTCTCAACACATTTTCCATAAGCCTCTCAAATGTCGCAGGAGCGTTACAAAGTCCAAATGGCATAACGTTGAATTGCCATAATCCAGATCCTGTGGTGAAGGCTGTCTTTTCTTTATCTACCGGGTCCATTTCTACCTGCCAGTATCCAGACTTCAAATCCAAAGTAGAAAATAATTTACTTCCAGCCAATGTGTCTAATGTGTCATCGATCCGAGGCAGAGGATAACTATCTTTCTTGGTAACGTTGTTCAGCAAACGGTAATCCACACAGAACCTCGTCGTTCCGTCTTTCTTCTTAACCAGGACCACCGGAGAGACCCATGGGCTCGTAGAAGGTTCTATCACCCCGTCTTTCTTCATTTCCTGAACAATCGTTTCAGCTTCCTCTCTTTTCGCCTGTGGTAATCGTCGAGCTGTTTGACGAATTGGCTTAGCATTACCAGTATCAATTTTATGCTTAACAACGGTAGTTCTTCCCGTCTTTCCTCCTTTCGGTACGAAAATAGCACGATACTGCCGAAGAAATTCCCTTAATTTCCTTTTCTCAATCTGATTCAGAGACTGTCCAGCAACCGCAACCATTTGATCAAATTTATCGTTGGAATTATCAGACGTTGTCGTCTGACGGATTATGGATGTGACAGGTACACAAGTTCCTACTTTTGTCTTTTCTTGATGGTCACTGGGTTAGTCATTGACATTAATAAGTCTCACAGGAATTTCTTTAGCCGAAGTCACTAATTCTTTTCCAATTATGATTCCACGGCCAACTTCGTCGTCATGATTCCAGGGCTCCATCATAACAGGTGTTCCTTCGTCACAATTCCCTGTAGCCGCGCTACTATTATCGTTTCACTTCTCGCAGGCACGACTGTATCTTCTTTAACGGCTGCTTGCATAGTGTTGTCATCATGTGGATGGAGAAATACCTCCTCGTTACCAACTTTGATTACCTTATTCTTAAAATCCAATTGGAATCCATGCGTATTCATTACGTCCATTCCTAATATAACATCCTCTTCGATGTCAGCAACTATAACAGTATGGACGAACTTTTCTGCTCCAATTCCTAATTGTATCTGGATTTCTCCATGAATGTTGGCATTTTCACCTGTGGCGGTTCGCAGTCGCAACCTCGTTGGTAACAGTTTCTTACGGCTGTTTATAACTGTCAGGCGAATAATGGTTCTTGTCGCTCCAGTATCCACCAATAACGTATGCTTTTTACCATTTATTTCTCCATCTACATATACACTATCTTCACGACATTTCAAAGAAGCTATCAGTATGAGATGGGCTTTGGAAAAGTTCTGGGTCGAAGCTGCCCCCTAAGGCCGACCCGTTCTAGTTTTCCTGATGGTGAGTTTCTTGATTTGCGTCGTACCTAGGATGCTTACAAGAACTTCGTACGTGTCCTATTTCGCCACAATTCCAGCATCTTATGGTCTTCGGTTTCTTGTATGTCATGCTTTTCATCATATTAACGAGCTGGTCAAGTTTACTTCATCTTCTTCCTCTTTTACAGTCCTAACTTTACTGTAACCGCAGAGGCTGCGTAGCTGACTCGTATTCGAGGGCGGCGGATAAGACATCAACCAGCGTCTTGTGACGAGCTAATCGTAGTGTTCTTTGCATCTCATGATCACGAAGACCATCAATAAACGTTTGAACGGCCAACTTTTCCATCATGTCTTCGGGAGCTGTTGGATAAGCATATCGCACTAATCTGGCGATATCTACTTCATATTCCTGAAGAGCCTCATCTTTCTTTTGTCTTCGATTTTTGAGCTGCGACTGATATACATGTTCCAAGTGTTCGTGGCCATATCGCATATTTAACCTCTTCTTCAGTTGTTCGAAATCATCCGTCTCCTCTACGGCTATGGTCTGGAGCACATCTAAGGCATCTCCTCGAAGAGCTATAGTCAGGTTTACAGCCTTTTCTTTTTCAGACCATCCATTCGCTCTTGCAGCTGATTCGAACTGTTTCATGTAGTTGTTCCATGATGATTTTCCGTCGAAAGTTGGAACTTTAACATGAACAGAAACTCCAAATCCTTCAAATTTCGGCCGCGTTTCCAACTTACATTTCGTCTCGTCTTCTTTTGTCTCTACGGTAATTGGATTATTTCCTCTCTCTACCATTCCTGTTCCCTCCATCTTCCTTTCCATCTCTTTCATCTTTTCTTCGAAGGCCAACATATCGGCAGCAACTTGGTTTTTTAACGAAGACTTTCTGTCGTCGAGGGCAGACATCTCAGCAGTGACTTTAGAGATTTCCAAGGAGATGTTGGCAGAAACTTTGCTTTCTAGAGAAGAAATCTCGTTAGAAATTTTGTCTTCTAAAGAGGCGATGTCACCGCAAACTTTGGCTACATCACCAGAGATTTTGACTACGTCGGAAGAAACTTTCGAAATCGACGAGATGACAGCAGCATGCTTGTCTTCAAATATATAAGTTTCCGGATTCAAACCTTCTTCCTCCAAAGCCTTCTTTAGTCGTTGGATTAACTCAGTCTTTTTTCCGGTAGAAGCTAATTCTCTGTCTTCAAGATGCCTTCTTAGATTCGTAACTGTGAGCTCGTAAATCGTAACATCGTTCACCAATTTCACTTCTTTTCAAAAATTCAAATTAAATTTATCTACAACCCCACTCTGTACACCACTGTAGCATTTATTTATATTGTTCTAATTTATTTGTCTTTATTCTAATTTATTGTCTATATTCTAATTTATTAAAACTCACGATAGCTAATTACTAATTTATTAAATAACTTTACAAATGTATTTATTTCACGTTTCGTTACATTTAAATACCGCGTTTACCGATCTTCTTATGACTGACTCCTTAATGAAAGTCTCCCTTATTTATATAATTCCAAGCCGGTAAACAGAAAGGTGTAGAAAATACCATGCTGTTCTCGATGTAGACACAGCGGCGACTGGTCTCAAAACATGTTCTTTATCGGCTTGTCGCACCCAGAACATTCGATGGTTGTTTGTTTAGCGAAGGGGACCCAAATGATGTCAGGCAGATTTTTGACCTAGAAATTACGAGAATCAATACAAAAGAATTAGTCATAAAATATTTACAGTTCTATACGCCATAACATTTAAAATCGTAACAATATTTTAATAAATGCAGTTCGAGTCATTGCTAGAGTACTCTTGATTTCTGAGACGTTCTCGTTATTTTGGATATTAGATAGCCCGAGTATACAAATTTGTCAACTATTTCGACATTCGCCAATTGGTATTTATGCTTACAATTTGTCCTGTCTATGATAATATTTTTGTTTTTCCGGTGTTAATCTAAAGCAGCTATATATCTGAAGCTATATCATTAGCAGATGTAGAAAAAAGCTAAAGAGTAAATTTCATATAAAATTGACCATATACCTTGTTGTCTTAATATTTTTTGATATTGTAATTGTCTCCATAATATTGTTCATTAAAACACAGCGACTTAGATGGGCTGGACACATAATACGAATGCCAGAAAATACGATTGCTAAAAAGCTAACCACAGGAACAACTGTAGGAAGAAGAAGCAAAGGCCGACCTCCAATTAGGTGGTTAGATGGAGTTACTGACCGGTAACCGACTTACGGATATTGAAAATCAGAAGATGGCAATATGTTGCCAGAAACCGAACAGAATGGCGACGAATCTTAGAGCAGGCCAAGATCCACAGAGGATTGTCGAGCCAAAGATGATGATGATGAATTGTCTCCATAAGGACAATCACAACATCAAAGAATACAATGAATAATATTAATAATAATAATGTCTGCCTTACTGGTAAACCCAAAGTCAAAACGGACAATTTGTTTAACAAGGTGACGTTTTGTAATTTATTCATCTTCCGGGTTTGGACCGTGTCATTTGTGAGTGACCCAAAAGTGGGTTCATCTCGACGTTTCGCTACAATTGTATGTAGCTTCTTCAGGAGAACAAAGAAAAAGAAAAAGAAAAAGAAAACAAAAGACAGTAAGATGGGTAGTTAGCAACGGTAACTCAGTTACTCAACGCAACCAGAGGCGAATACTAACTACCAAGATGGGCATTTGGTCACAGTAACTCAACTACTCAACGCAGCCAGAGGTGAAAACCAAATGCCAGGACAGGGATTCACGCCCAACAGCTCAGAACACTAACGCGTCGAGAGGCGGGGAGTGAATCGGAAAATTATAATTCTGACTCTGGCCGTGGAAGCCTACGATCTCAAGGTGACGTTCTTATAAAAAAGTAACATACTATATTGTTTTCTTTTAAAATAGATGATTTTGTCAGTTCATCCTTTTGTAAATCCAAAAATATCAAGATAAAATTTACATTGTCTGCTATCTGTACGCAAATAAGTATTTTGCAGAATAATCTTCACGATAAAATTATAACTAAAACAATTTTATGACATACAATATTATTGTAAAGGAATGTACCTATTCATGTGTGCTAAAAAACTGTTTAAAAAATTATCACAAGCTAAATTGTTACAAATATTAAAAAGCTCAAACACAAGTTATTGGTAATCTCTCTTTCAATATTTACGGAGTGATGAGAGAAAAATCGTCGTAAAAATGATCTGATGAAACAGTTTTTCAAAATTAGCAGTGAGTGAGGTGCTAGTGAACGAGGAGTAGAATTTTTTAAAAAGTTCCGTCATGACTGAGTCAAAGCCCAGTGACAAACTTGGGGTAGAGTATGTACCTTACAATACACTAAATACAGAAAAGAACAAATTCGTCCAACTTAAGCCTCAAAACCAAGAGACTAAATCGGACACACTTTTCTTGATCATGACAATTCTTTCAGGTAATTATTGAATTGGTCATTTACTTTGATATGTTAGTGTTCGTTACTTTCTTCTCTCTAGGTGGTTCTATGGCTGCGTTAATTATGTTGTTTTTGAGTTTTCCCAGCTTGTCTTAATGTTATCGTTTTATAATATTTGATTCCCAGCGATATTCTTTGATATTGTTTTTCTATACAAGTATTCCATGTATCCCGAATTTAGTCCTTTGACTCTTATCTTTGTTTGTGTTGGCGCCGCTCTCTTGGGGGCGAAAAATTCATGATGATGATTTTTTTACATAATTCTTATTTATTCTAAGTTATTCATGCAAAAGTTTATCATCAGTGCTTTATTTTAATTTTTAACACATTCTCGTTATGTTTTTGCTTAATTCTGGATATTAATTGTTTTCTATTCGAGCAGTAAAATCCCCCGTATTACCATTTTTCCTCTGACTTGGTCTTTACTGTTTTAATTCGTCGTAAAACGTTTTCTTTGTTGCTTGAGGCTTATTATTTTTTGGCCGTGTGCTCCGATGACGTTCATGTTTTCCTTCTCCATTTTTATCTTTGCTGTTACTATCCTTTCTGATTATATATTGACACTTTTGATGTATTTTTGTATTTTTGATATATTAGTAATGGTATAACTTCTTTTAGTAACGCTATTCCTTCTTTTATTACTACCCATAAAAATCAGGTTACTACGATGTTATATCTTTTCTATACTGTTGCACGAAGTTGAGTAGTGGACTCTCATAGACGCTACCTGTAAGAAAATTGTGGCTTTCGAAATGTGGCTTTATCGTCAAATTATGAAAGTATCCTACCGACTACGTTACTGACCAGGACGGTTTATAAAGAATACAAAAACTTACGTAGTTTCATACAACAACCACAAATCTTTTCAAAGCAGCAATTTGCAAAATACATATTCTCATGATGGTTGCCAACATTAGAATCCGATAGGCACTACAAGAAGAAGAAGAAGATGCCTTCTTTGGCCCTGTTTTATTGTTAGATTAGTTTGTATTCATCTAATATTGATTGTCCTTTTCCCTTTTTTTGTGTCCTGTTAAAGAAAAGTTATTAGACTTGCTATAAGCATGCGGTGATCATGCATGTTCACCGCCTCAGATAGTATCTGATCCAGTCCGTGGGGCCTACAAGTCTTAAGTGAACCCAATGCCTCGACAAGTTCATCCATGGTAAAGTGTACAGTCCCCTCAGCTCCTTCATCTCTTAATACACCATGCCATCTGCCGTCTGGAAAGAGCTCTCTCTTGTTATCTCAAGCTTATTGTCTATAGGCATTTCGTAAGAAGAATACACATGAAACTTTTTGATGACGATCTTGTATCCCTGACCCCAGATGTCCTCATCCAGCTTTTCACACACTCTTTTCACTGCCTTCTTTTTTCTGTACGGATTTTCCTGTACAGTTCCCTCTTTCTTGCGCGGTACTCTTCCTCGATCAGTAGAAGTGTATATCTGTTGTTACAACTTGAGATAAATTAGGATTTACTATTTTTGCCTGGATTTTTCTTTGGATGTTTTATCTGTGGTTGAGAGGAATATCATAATCAGAATCGTCAGAATTCCCAATTACTTGTATTTCATATGTACCGGCAATAACCGATTTTATTGATTCTTTACAAATAATATTATCATAAATCTTTTCTACATCAGAAACTTTCTAATCTAATCTCGGTGGCAAATAAACCACATTAAGTGAGTCAGCATTTTCACAATCTGAGTCTTCTTCTAACAAAACTATTAACTCTTTAGTAGGTAGTTAGTGCCATCTTCATTTCATATTTCGAGAATTTACTGAAATTAACAAATGCACTACTATATAAATGCATTTACATGATAATAGTTTAGCTAACTTTATTTTAATTTATATGAACTTAATAATATATTTTTGTTTATATAATCAAATAACCACAAGAAAACTTTCAAATGAAGTTAAAAAAAAACAAATACAACGTTTACAGCACACAGCAATTATATAAATAGAGAATAATGTGTAATGACGAGATCGTATGTTAAAATTTCAGATTGTTTTTAGTCTAATCAAAAAAATAAGTATTTTCCAAAGTTTTCTGTTTTTTGAAGTTCTGTATTAGGCACTCCCTAATAAGAATACAATTTTACTTTATTTTTATAAGACCTATTAAAAGACACATAATAATTTAATAATTAAATCCGTCTTAGATTTAATTTGTACGTAATTTTTTTTTTGAACCTATTCTCTATCCTTCCATTATTGGATATAGGTCTCCTCCAGTTCTCTCCATCTTTCCCTATCTTGAGCTGTTCTCTGCCATGTGGGACCTCTTGTTTCCTGATGTCATCTTTCCACCTTATCTGTGGTCTGCCTCTTGATCTCTTTGCATTGTATGGACGCCACTTTCCGATGGCATTGTTCCAGATACACCCAACATTTGTCTCTCCATCGCTCTTTGTGCCTTCCTTATCCTATCCAAATTGCCCAAATTGGCCTGTGTAAATGTCCATGTCTGTGCTCCGTAGGTGAACACCGGTATGATACAGGAGTTATATACTTTGCTTCGTAAGTATAGAGGAATTGTTTGATTTTTTAGAACGTAAGAAAGTTTGCCGAACGCTGCCATCCCATTCTTACTCGTCTCGATATTTCGGCTGTTTGATTTTCTCTATTAGCTCTGATTGCTTGTCCTAGATAGATATACTCATTTACCTGTTCTATTTTTTCTGTTTTTATTTTTATTGCCTCTTGGTCTTCCGTGTTTGCCATTACTTTTGTTTTGTTGAAGTTAATTTTTAGACCTTTTTGCAGTGATTTTTCATGAAGTTCATTCAGCATTAATTCCAGTTCTTGTCGTTCCGAAGAGATCAGGAGTATATCATCCGCATATCTAAGGTGATTTAGGTATTTTTCGTTAATACATATTCCTCTGTTTTCCCAATCTGTTGATTTTATTATGTCTTCGAGGGTCAAGGTAAACAGTTTAGGTAAAATTATATCGGCTTGTCGGACTCCTCGTTTAACTTTTACATTATCCGTTATTAATTTGTCGTCCATAATTACGGTCATGGTTGCGTTTTGGTAAATATCATGTATCAATTGTCGGTATCTTGAATCTATTCTACTATTGACCAGAGCTTCTTCAACGTAATTACGTAATTACTTGTGTTTAAATAAATAATTAAATTTTTTTTTGGTCAACTAATCACCTTCCATTAAAAATTGTTTTAGTATAGTTTTCATTCTACAGGGTGATTCATTAATACTGTTTTATATTATTTTTAGGGATATATTGAAAACTACTTAAACGATTTAGGTGAAATTTTTTATCGTGATATTATTTAGTATGCTCAATATGAATGCTACTATAACATGGGTTCATTATATGTGTTTATAATTTTTTTGTCTGCCCTGTACAAACATTTTAGGCAAAAAACCATAAAATAACATTCAATTCTACACAAAGTATTTTTGTTTAAAATAAAAAAAGTACACCGCTTTCGAAATAAACGTATTTTGTTAATGCTGCATGTCTATATTTAATTTTTCGCAAACCAAGCAGGTACCTAGGTATGCTGTGAACTTAATGGCAAAATCAAGGTTTAAGTACGAATTTGTTTACTATTTGTTGTCAAAGTGTAGTGCGAGTCTATTATTATATAAAAAAAGAATATGTGTGTACTTTGTACGCAGGTAAGAAGTTATACTTCTATTATATGATTTCAACGATATTTTATGTCATACCATCTTCTTCTTCTTATGGTGCCTATCCGTTATGGAGTTAAAACCATTATCGCAGGTTATGCAGCCCAGATATTTTTCTTCTGGACCTCTTTTCCCATGCACTTTACCTTGAAGCATACTAGTTTATTATTGTGTTTAATATTATGTGTTAATATTCTTATTTACTATTAAAGTCTTCTTTACCATTGAATATTTGGACCACAGGGAACTTGGAGAAAATGTTTCGGCGAGATCGGCAAAGTGTACAAGTAGCACAGTTTCACTAATGTGTTCTATATGGTTTTCTGTCATCCAGTGCTGTAATTTTTTATATTCCTTGTCGTAGGCATCTTTCGACTTCGTGGTAGTAACTTTTGCGTTGCTTTTTCTGCTTTTTTTTTAAAGTTGGTTAAGGATCTCAAAAATATCTTACATTTTCACTGTTTTAGTTTGACACGTTTGACAGTATTTCCGTAGCGTGGCAACATAACACGGACGATAGAATGTCTACTAATAAATTAATATTATCAAAATGAAATCGAATTTTCGGATTTTTCATAAACAAATTTATTTGTAGATGCAATAACGAACTAGTATCACATAAAATTTTGGATGGAGCGCGGGTATTGATCGATGTATATGCCTCGGGCGACTGACAAACCCTCGGGCCTCTGGCCCGAGGGTTCACAACGTCGCCCTTTGGGCGTAAACATCTAGTTAATACCCTTGGTACATAAATAACTATTAAACAGTTAATTTGTGTTTTATTTGAATATTAAACTAATTTTAATACTTACAAGTTTCCTAAAAATTTTCTTAAATAATACCGAAAATAAAAAAAATTAGCAAGGCAATAACATAACATGTTCCTAAGAGGCCACCCATCTAAAGCTGACCCGGTTGACACTGCTAAACTTTCGAGCGACAACTAGCGTAAGACAGTGTGCTATGGCCGTAAAATTCATACTAAAATGAAATATTTTGACAGATTATATCTACAAATAATAATATTAAGATTGCTTTTAATCATCTTTTCATCATATTTTAATATCTATTATGCTATTTTGGACGAAGACAAATTCAAAGACACAAAAATTATAAAATGTATTTTTTTCACACTTTCTTTGTACTGATACATTTTTCTCTAGATTTTCTCTACATGACATAGTCATTTTTCTAACAATTCACTCTCAATATTTTTCCCAATCGCTCCTAAAGAAGTATAACTTCAAAAACATGAACTAAATTCATTTCTACACAAAAAAGGTACCTAGTCTTCTTTCACATCAAAATAGTATACCGTTTTCGAAATAAACGTATTTTGTTAATGATGCATGTCTCTATTTAATATTTTGCATAACAAGTATTCTTTGAACTTAATAGCAAACTTCAAGAGGTAACTACGAATTTATTTATTATTATACTCTGTTTTTTAACCATTAGGAGTAAACCAAAAAGACAGATTCACACCCAAGAAAGTTACTAGAAAAGTCACCAAATACATCTTCTTGATCGATGCATTTTTGAATAAGTGTTTGAGTTGCAAACAGCACCTCTATTGTTCCCAAGGCCTTTCTTAATCCGAACTGAGAGTAACTTATGCCTATTTCACATGTTTGATACATCCGATTCTGTATGATCTTTAAGAATATTTTTAGTCACTGACTTTTAATTTATAAAACTACAATATGTAGAAAGGAGTGCGAGCAAACTACGTATTGCGAAAACCATACAACTTTGAATTTTACAATGGATCTAAAAAAACCAGACATCACCACGATTATAAAAATTAGAGGACTGCCCACATTTAACACATGCAGGAAGATCTAGCCTCCAATAAAATCATAAGTAAGGCCCTAATGCGAAGAAAACAAAAAAAAAAGAATCAGGCTAAAATATATGAAGCAACTACAATAAGAGCTAAATACCTTAAAAATCGCCAGTAGAGAGGATCAGCGGAAGATCTTAGAACATGTAAAGATCCACAAAGAATTGTCGTGTTACTGATAATGATGATGACGTTCCTCGTTCCTCATTGAGCAACAATTCATTATATACTTAGAATTTTACTAATATTGACAGTAAACTTTTCACTCGATTTTAAATTGTGTTTTTTTATGTCTAGCTTTATGTTTACTGTAAGGTATAAAAAGCTCTTTTGAAGTCTGCGAATAGAGCCAATGTTTATATTCTTTTATTTAAGTGAATAATATTAACTTATTTTAAGGTACAACGGCTGCCACTATTACTGGATCCCACATGGTGTGGACGTCACCCGTTATCCCAAAAATTACCTCAAATATTTCTGATGACAATCCTTTGGGAAGAATGGCAACAACCTACGAAATATCGATGATTGCTGGTTTTCCACCATTAGCATCCCTTGCAGGATCTTTATTTCTGGGACAATTGGCAGAAGTATTCGGAAGAAAAAGGTCTATACTGATCATGGTTGCGGGAGATATTATAGCAGTTGTTTGCTTGGCATTTAGTACAAATGTGTATTGTATAGTCGTATTTCGATGTGTAATATTTATGTTTTTTAACGGAGTTATAACTGTCATACCTGTTTATTTGACAGAAATATGCGAAGATCACAACAGAGCTAGGTACGGTTGTTTGATGGGTGGTATGCTACCTTTAGGTAGCCTCTTCGGTTACGTAATAGGGTCATTTTTCACTATCAGAGTATTTACTTTATTAACACTTAGTCCATTATTATTCTTTATTTTCTTTTGCGTATGTGCGCCTGAGTCTCCAGTCTATTCCCTATCTAGGGGAAGAAGAGAAGAATGTTTAAAAGCTCTAAGAAAGTTAAGAAGCAATAAAAATAACAAAGAAATTGAGAGCGATATGTACCAAATAGGGGAAGCTTTAAAACTTCGAGCAAATTCTTCGTCTGGTAATATATTTACCCTATTCTCAACAAAAGAAAAGAGGTACGCAACGCTTTTAGCATTCATTCCCCCTATGATACAAGTTCTTTCAGGAGTTGCCGTTTTGGTCCAATTTATGGCACCTATATTTATTGCAGCTGGCACAAAATTTAACAGTAATCATTTGGCAATAGTAGCTGGTTCTATAAAGGTTATTAGTTTTATAATTACTTCTTTTATTGTCGAGAAAACTGGAAGAAGGCCTATGCTTCTTATCTCTACAATAGGATCTTCTATACCACTTCTCATCTTGGGTGGATTTTTCTACCTCAAGCACCTCAATTCCCCAATAATTGCTTCACTCCAGTGGCTACCTTTGACCAGCGTAGTGACTTTCATGATTTTTTACTCCCTAGGAATTGGTCCAATTCCAATGGCCATCATGGGAGAACTTTTCACTCCAGATGTTAGAGCCGCAGGTGTATCATTCATTATGACAGTAATGGGCACATGCCTTTTTTGCGCCACTACTAGTTTCCCAATCATTAACGAGTTTCTAGGCTTGCATTGGTGTATCTGGATGTACAGCGTGTTTTGTCTACTGGGGGCAACATTTATCTATTTTATGATCCCGGAAACTAAGGGGAAATCAGTTGTAGAAATACAAGAATATATTAAAAGCTGTGTAAATAAATAAATACTTATTTTTCAGTGTTTTATTTTTAATATATGTTGTCCTTGAAAAAGACGTGTATTACGATGTGATTCCAGTGTAATAGATATATGTTTAATAAAACATTTAAATTAAATATTAATTAATAATATTAAAATATTAAAATGTTTTCGATCTAATCAGACCAACTACAGTGAATATAGAAGTATGTAATCCTCAGTAAAGTAACCTACTAACGCATGTCCTAAAGATTTCGGAAAAAATAAATATGTATTTTCTGATTGTAAATTAAGTTTATTTTATTAAATACAAGAAATTAAGTGTACATATTTAAGGTTTATAATGTATTTTTATAGAAAAGAAAGAGGTCCGTGATCTTCGATGGCACGTAAAGTTGATCTTGCAGACGCAATAAGCCTTTGGTCTGTTTCTAAGTCAATCTCACGAAATTTTTGCAAAATTTTTCTCCTTAGCTGGTCTTCATTTTGAGCTTCTCAGCATTTATTAAACACCATGTAATTACATGGTGGCACATAGGACGGTTGTCGCGCTTGGGAATAAAATTTATGTTTGAGCATTAACCAATCGGTCGTTCTCCTGTCGTAATGGCACGACGTGAAGTCGGACTTCGTGAATGTCGGAGTGATGATTTCATCATTGGGATGATGAGTATTTATAATTTGAACAAGTTTTGTAGGACACCTGTCAACATAATTGTCAGTATTGAGAGATTCACTGCGAACACACCCAACAAACGGCTATGAAACACCAGCTTCTGAGATGACACATCATACCAAAATTATATCGGTAAATTTATTGAATTCATTAATGTCAGTGTCTCGTTTAACGTTTTGAATTTTGACAAAGGTAAGGGTTTCCTGCTTTATTGAAAATATAATAAAATAAAATCTAGTTCCACATGTAATATAATTTATTGAATCTAAACCCAAAAAATACTAATATTAAATATAGTACGGTTCAGGAAATTCAAAACTATTATTATTATATATATATATATATATATATAAATATATATATTATATATATATATATATATATATATATATATATATTTATATATATATATATATATAATATATATATAAATATATATATATATATATATATATATCGGAAAAAGAGTACGACCGTCAATCCAATATATATATAATATATATACAATATATATATAACTAAACCGCAAAAAGACAGCCAACCTTGAGGTCAAAATTACTTTTGACAGATCAACAAGGTGTAAATACCAACCCAAATTTTGGGCGGTTAATTTAAGTTTAACTGAGTTTGGATGAATACCCGGTTGCAAAGGACAACACAGTGAAAAAAGTTGGTAGTGTAAACACAACTCCCCTCACTAATCAGCCCAAATTTACAAACAGGAGATTTTCATTCAACCTCATAAGTATGTAATGACGTTAATCATTATGGCTAGTTAAACAGCCAGGTGGTTAACGATTTTATAATTTCCAAACAGCCCAAGGTTCAATATACTTGGAGCTGTGATTTGCAAAGGATTCTATGAATCAATTACAATATTTGTATTATTTTAATATAAAATTTGAAACACTAATTAAAGTAATTAGTGTATTGAAATGCAATGTGGGTTGCATATGTAATAGTAAAATTAAGTAAAGATATTAAGTTATTTTATTGATATATTTATTTATTTTATTTCTATTTATGTATATAAATTGTTTTATGAAAAATGGAAAAAAGTTCAACTAGTACACCTAATATGACATTAATGTAGTGAAAAGATTAAGTAGCCTAATTCTGCAAAATTAAAGCATGATATATTTGGCTCAAGTTACTTATGTCAGTTCTCTTATTCAATGCATTAGGGTGTTTTAATATTGAACACATTTCCAAAAACTGTCTTTTAGCTAGATTGCGTTCAGTGGCAAGGATCTTAACTTCATTAAAATCCACTTCATGTTTTGTATTTATCGCATGTTGTGCTAGGGCACAAGTGTGTTTCGATAAATTAATGTCGCTACGATGTGAAGTGAGACGACCTTTTAATGATCTACCAGATTGACCAATGTAACATAAATCGCAATTAGCGCATGGAATTTTATAAATTGTGTTCACTTGTTCCAAAGTGGACAAGGGTGTTTTAGTTTTAGAGAACAAATTTCTAACAGTTTTTGCATTCTTAACAGCAATTTTAACAGGTATATTATTTTGTTTATACAATTTAATAAGTTTCTCAGTAACTTGAGGGAAATAAGGTAAGGAAGAGTAATGTGTGATAGTATTCTCAAGAACGGTATTATGCAGAACAGTGCTATTTATAGAATTATTAGAGATGTTTCTAAGTTGGTCACCATCGGGTATGTCATAAATTGAGGATCCATAACTATGCGAATAAAGGTATTTATTGATGATAGAGGAAGGATATGAATTCTCTATTAGAATATTTCTCAATAACTTAAAGGATTCCCTTCGATTAATTGGATGTGTCAATTTATTTAATCTATAGCTCAAAGCTTTTATAAGGTTTAGTTTGTATTTCATGGGATGACAGGAATGGTAGTTAAGGAACCTATTAGAGGCCATTGATTTTCTATACCAACTTGTGGTTAGGGTGTTGTCTCCCATTCTGATGACACGCATGTCAAGGAAGGGTATACTATTGGTGGTAGTGTCCTCAAGTTCAACAGTGAACTGTAAATGAGGATCAAACTCATTAAAGTGGGATAGGGTACCCTGAACCTTGTCAGGTGGTAGGGCTAGTAATAAATCATCCACATACCTTTTAATAAAAGGGATTTGAAAATCCAAAAGACCCAAACGGTCAGAAACCAAATCATCCAATACAAAGTTAACTAGGATGGGAGAGATTGAGGAACCCATAGGTGTACCAAATGTTTGAAGGTAAAATTTGTCATCAAAGACCAAAAAATTAGTGTCAAACACAAGTTGCAACAGTTCTGCAAATATATCCCAAGACACCGGGCAGTTAGGTTTAATAGAATTCCAATGGTTTTTTAAGGAAGTAATTACACTGGACAGAGGTAAGTTAGTGAAAAGAGATACCACATCAAAACTTACTAAAATGTAACCTTGAGGTAGTTGAAAATTGTTAATAAATTCACTAAAGTTGAAAGAATCAACAATGTTGAAATCATTGTTGTAATTATATGATTTAGACAAGATGTCTGTTAGAAATTTAGCTATTTTTATATTAGGTGAATTAATAGATGACACAATAGGTCTCATGCTCAACGTAGGTTTATGTATTTTTGGTAAACAATAGAATCTTGGAGCATATCCATCATAATTATGTAAAGATTTAGCTAAAGGTTGATCTATGATCTTAATATTTTTTAAATGTGTTATAAATTTATTTATTTTATTTGTGAATTTAGAACAAGGATTAGAAGAAAGTGGTTGATAGTATCTATCATCATCTAACAGTGATTTACTCAAACTGAAATATTGATCTTTGTCCATAAGGACAGTAGCATTACCTTTGTCACTCGTAAGAACGAGAAGATTAGGGTGGGTTTTTAAAAACGATACCGTCTCCCTGTAAATCTTATCTAACTCTGATAAGGGTTGCCTAGGGCGTTTAGTGAAATTCAACAAGATGTTGTTAGAAGAAGACCTAAGAGATAGAAGGTCGGAATTGTCCGCATGAGACAAAATATTCTCAACATCTGCTAAGATTCTACTAATTGAGTAGTCCTTGAACGAAGGTTGAAGGCCAAATTTAGGACCCAAAGATAACAGCTTCAGTATGTCAGGAGGAACCTCAATATTAGATAAATTCTTAATCCACTTAGGATTAAATGGGATTTTCTTGAAATCAGGTGTGTCTAAGTTATTAAGTTTATTTTTAAGTTTTATCATGGATTTATTATAAATGTAATTAAATTTTCTATGTAGAGAAGCCTCAAAAGTGTCCAACAAATTGTCAGGTAGGTGACTATCCAGAAACGAAGTAACATTATTTATTTGAAAAGTTAAAGATTTAATATCTGTGTGAACCTTAGAAATATGGAAATTAAGCAATCGCACCCTCACCTGTCTATTTAAAGCTTGGCTTCTACGGTACAGTCCGTTATCTGTGGAACTAGATGTCGATGTAAGGATGTTGGAAGTGGTGTCAACAATGAAAACGTGGGATTTTCTTAGTTCTATTAAATTCTATTAAACCTAACTGCCGGTGTCTTGGGATATATTTGCAGAACTGTTGCAACTTGTGTTTGACACTAATTTTTTGGTCTTTGATGACAAATTTTACCTTCAAACATTTGGTACACCTATGGGTTCCTCAATCTCTCCCATCCTAGTTAACTTTGTATTGGATGATTTGGTTTCTGACCGTTTGGGTCTTTTGGATTTTCAAATCCCTTTTATTAAAAGGTATGTGGATGATTTATTACTAGCCCTACCACCTGACAAGGTTCAGGGTACCCTATCCCACTTTAATGAGTTTGATCCTCATTTAAAGTTCACTGTTGAACTTGAGGACACTACCACCAATAGTATACCCTTCCTTGACATGCGTGTCATCAGAATGGGAGACAACACCCTAACCACAAGTTGGTATAGAAAATCAATGGCCTCTAATAGGTTCCTTAACTACCATTCCTGTCATCCCATGAAATACAAACTAAACCTTATAAAAGCTTTGAGCTATAGATTAAATAAATTGACACATCCAATTAATCGAAGGGAATCCTTTAAGTTATTGAGAAATATTCTAATAGAGAATTCATATCCTTCCTCTATCATCAATAAATACCTTTATTCGCATAGTTATGGATCCTCAATTTATGACATACCCGATGGTGACCAACTTAGAAACATCTCTAATAATTCTATAAATAGCACTGTTCTGCATAATACCGTTCTTGAGAATACTATCACACATTACTCTTCCTTACCTTATTTCCCTCAAGTTACTGAGAAACTTATTAAATTGTATAAACAAAATAATATACCTGTTAAAATTGCTGTTAAGAATGCAAAAACTGTTAGAAATTTGTTCTCTAAAACTAAAACAC